TGAGATTAAGCAACTACTTTGAGCTGAGCGGGGAGTCTGCTTGAGATTCTCTCCATCTGTCCCCACCAGGCACCCTCGTGCTCTCTCTCGAAAATAAGTAAATAAATCTTTTTTAAAAATTACGGTTTCACTTAGATTTATAATTATCTCATTTTTCGTAGACAATCTTTGATCCACCTGGAATTTGTGATAAAAAGTAGGATAGGGATTCAGGGATAGTGGGGGGGAGGGGATGGAGATGTGCTAGAATGTGTATGCGTGTGCATGTGTGTTGTTTGGTCAATCATCATCCTTTGGTAAAGTATTTCTATCACGCTTAGAACTACATGATAATTTCTACTTGATCTCATCTAAATGAAACACTGATTTTTTTGAGTTCCAGCTGGGCCATAGCCTCATTAACAAATCTGACCATCCCCTTTGAAATACTTACTAGTTTGCCTCCTGTGACTTTATTTATTTTGTGGAAATCCTTCTGATTAGTTCAAACAATGGACTTGCTTTCAATAGAATAAGACGATTCCTTTTTAAAGACCTGTTTCTATCGTAGAAAGCTGATATATTTGGCTTGGGACACATCTGAGATGTTTAAATATAAATGGATGTGTTCTCTCATCCTCAACTGATCGTTTCCTTCTTTCTCTACAATATTTATTTCCTTCCCTTTCCCTTCCCTTCCTGCTTCTTCTTTTCTTCTGGTCTTTATCATCTGGTTCTTTCCTTGACTTGACCTACATACTGATCCCAGTTTTCTCCCTAAAACCCCACCAGGCTCAAAAGTCCTCAATTCCTCTGTGCAAGGCCAGTGTCCCCACAGGCCTGGAGCTGGGAAGAGAGGTCAGGGCTACAGACCTTCCTTTGGCAGCCATCCCTGGTGGAAGGATTTTCACATGCGTAAATCTTTTAGGATAGAGACTGCAGCCAGCGTGAGTGCAAGATTTTCTGGATCTGCCTCAGGTCCAGGACATCGCAGGGACCACCCCATGTGGGACTCTCCTCATCACTCCCAAAACATTTCAGCTCAGTGAAAATGAACATCAAAAGCCACCCTGAAGAAGAAAAGAAAAAGAAGAGATGTCAGCTTGCAGCCTGGAGGACCAGCTGAGAGGACAGTGTCTGACCAGGCAGCCAGCTCGGGGAGCACTAGGAGCCCCCTTCACCATAAATTCCTATTTAAGAAAGGAAGGTGATTCACATGCAAAATATGTTCTGATGAAAAAAGTTAAGATGAAGGAAGATACAACAAATTTCCTTCTAATCCACTCTCATCCCCACCACCATTCCAACAAGGGGAGGTCCTGGAGCAGTTCTTGGAAGTATTTAAGGGCCTTAGGAAAAAGCAGAGCTGCATGTGCTGCAACCCAGCTCACCCAGTTTCTCTGCCCAAGAGAAACCATTGACTGTGGAGACCACTGAGAAACCTCTGCCCTTGAGGTTCAGGCCAAAGACCCAGCCCAGGTCTCCATCAAGGGGTACTTTGCATTCCTTACAGCGATTGTTCTCAAGCCCATCCGTTTTAAAAAATCTCATGGGAGGCATGGCTGTAATGTGAAGCTGGGTGTATATTTTCTTGGGACCTCTGGACACAATGTCCTCACACAGCACCCCAATAGCCGTTCCCAGCCAGTTTTCAAAACTGCTGTAGTTTCACCATATTTGTTAAGCAGATTCATTTATCAAATGAGTGAAACCATTACTGGACAGAAGTCAAGGCTCGTAGGGTGGTGAGCCATAAAGGAAGGACCCAGGGGAATTCTGCCAAATCCTGATCTTTTGGGACCCCCAGGACCCCCATGTGCCTGGGGCTGAGGAGGATGGGACAGCCAGGGGAGTCTTGGAAATCTTGGTGTTGGGAAACTTTTTCAAAGGAGGCTAAAAGGGAAGAGAAGGAAAGAGCTTGAAACAGATCTGCTTTGCAGCTGTGACTACAGAGCTGTGGTCAAACTACCTGCGGGGAAGACCAGGTGTGTTTGGGGTTTTGTTGTTGTTGTTCATTTGTTTGGTTTCAGTGTTAGTCCATTGTGGACCAATACTTTCATACAATGCAACACAAGTAAATAGAAAACTTAAATTTTATAAAAGGCATAAAGAAGATATGCCCTATTTTATGATCAGACTGAACAGATAATAAATAGCATTTCATTAACTAAAATAAATTAGTATGGAGCCCTGACAAATGGCTGTAACTGCTTCTAAACCGACACTCAGTTTCTGTCCTTAGCTTGCCCTAGGTGGGTAATGAACAGGTCACAGATGGAGACAGTTCTGGGGACACGTTTTGAGCGGCATGGCTTTAGAGGGCAAGGCTAATGAAAGTGATGAAGCAGGTGTCTAGTCTGGGAAAGAAAGCAACCCAACAGAGAGAACCACACGTGGTCTTTGGGCAGACAGCTGTTCCATATGGGTCTCCCGAAACATTGGAGGATCAAAAGAGAGAGGAGGGATGAAGGAAAACAAAAACGCTGTTTTTGCTCTCTCCAAGAGCAGCTCATGAGGACTGCTGAGCACCACGCAGCACAGGCGGACCGCAAGGTCCCTGATTCGTGAAGCCGGTCCGGCACTGAGCACCGCCACACACTAGCTCAGCCCAGCACAGCTGTTGCAAAAGCCATCCAAAGCAAACACGGTTCTCCCCACAGCAGACTCAACAGAACAAAACCAACACCCAGAAATAAATTGGATCGCCGAGCTCATCATGTTACACAGCTCACTGTTCTCAAATCCAGGATCCTGAATATAATAACAAATGATACTATTAACTGGTGCATCAGTCTGAAGCCAAAAGCAAATAACTCATTACTATAAACCAAATTGATCCTCAGAATTTTCCGGGTCAGCTACAAGAAAGAGTTATGAGACTGTCCTCCCAATTGAACTAAATCTCATCCATGTCTAATTGCAGTGTATATGGCTAACTCTTTTTTCCCTTCTGCAGAGCCAGCTTGCCTCTTAGCACATCTGAACCTCAGGGACTTCTCAAAGTGGGGGAGACATGTGGTTGAAAGCAACGTGGAGCCTGGAGCCAGCACCTGAGGGTTGAAGAACCGACCCTGCCACCCGCTAGCTTGGTAATATCTAGCAACTCTTTATCCACAAAACAAGACTGACAGCCACCTTCCTGGAAATTCAGTTGAAAATGCTTAGCAATTTGTAAAAAGCTACATGGATATGAGTCCTCACTACCTAGAAATAAGCAGCTGAGAGATGTTTTTAACCATGCCTCCCAACCCCTGCAGAAATGAAGCTTTGTCTCTAACACAGTACATTTCCTCCTCAGAGTTCAAACCACTTCCGCACATCACACATGATTTTTCTTATGTCCCCAGTATCACTGGGATATAGGAGGGAATTGGCATCACCAGGTCCACTTTGCAGCTTGGAAAAGTGGCTTATGTGAGATCTACCTAAGGCACATTAGCAGTGGCAAAGATGACTTGAAAATTCATAGGGACATTTACTAACAAGTTTGGTTCATGAAGTTTGTGGCTTTTCTTAATCCGCTCCTCCTTGTCTCACCCGCTGGGACTCTGCAACAGGAAGTCACCGCTCTGCCTTTATTTTGTTGTTAATTCTGCTTATGTAACACCCAGAAGAGCTTTACTTTACTTTGCTGCATCCTTGTAAAGTGAAAACAGGATATTTTTCAAATTCTGTGCTCTGAAAGCATATTTATTAACATACAAGTTATTTCAGGTCAGGCAAATAATTTGGTCCCTGTTACATGCTGTGGAACCTTAGGTAAATTAAGAAAACATGAAAGTATATAAGTGATCATGTAAAGAGAATTTGGAAATAATAATAATAATAATTTAAGACACTTATATAATTAAATTATAATATATCCTATATAATTATAATATTGTTTATTATTATTCCTACTGTCTTATGCTAAAAAACAACAATTTGGTAGGATTCTTTTGCAATCTGCCAAGCATAATAGCTCTGGATTTCAATTCTCCTTTATAAAAAAAAAAATAAAGGATAGGATGCCTATATCTTAGAAAAAAGAAAATAATTTCTGTGAATTCAAGGTAAATTTTGGTATTTCTGGATTGGGTTTCCAGTGCTGGATTTATCTATTTGTACTCGTAAAATTTGCACCATTGATCAGCAAGAAGCACAAACAGAATCTTGTGGAATCTTAAGTTTAATAGCTTTGGTAGTGAAAGAGAAAGTACGATAGAAAGCGAGGCTATATATTTATCATCTATTCCTGAGGAGACTGACGAAATGCGGTCTTTGATTTTTAAAAGATATTATTATCAAGGCCCTGGATAATCACATGATTATTTTCAATTAAAAATGAGTAAAGGAGAGACTCGGAATTAAAAATGTGTTACCAATGTTCCTCTCTAATACATTATGAAATTTCCCAAAAATGTAACCAAAATTAACCCAAATTTGGTCAAATTTGGAGTAAATGGCATGACTAGGAATAAGTTTGCTACAAAACATATGGGTTTTTCTGGATGATATTCAGGCTTTAGCTAAGCCTACTGCAATGCAACCACGATCTGTGCAAGGTTCCATGTCTCTCCACATAATAAATCTATGTCCAAATGAAAAATAGAGAGAAACTAAATATGATAGGCACCACTTTCTGCCAGGAAAAATAAAAAGTATTGCTATAGAGCAATGAACATCTTTGGATCCTGTCTGCAACTTCATTAAGTTCTTATGGCTTGGATATTTTTTATTCTTTCACCATTTATAACATGAGTACTCACACAGATGTTGAAGAGGGTTCACTCCTGAAATGAGTTCTTTATTGCGTATACAACAAAAAAGTGCTAAAAGTATAGATCTGATCTCCTCCAACTGATAAACACTTTCAAACACAGGTGTGAAAAACCAAGACTCGAGTTCCACCACTGCTGTCTGAAACACTTGTGGTGAGAAAGATAAAACTTTCAAGATCAAAGCTCAGTCTTCAGAATCTTCTTCCTTCACTAATGCCATCAGAATATTTCATCTAGGCTTCTTCAATCAAAGCCATTAAAATGGTGAAGTTTTCTTCTTTTCCTCTATTTTTCCTAACAGCTGGGGCTTTTATGACTCCAGAATGTGAGTATCTCCTAGACCCACCACATTTATGCATCAAATGAACTTCTAGTGATTGTGTTGTTATTTAGAAATGAAAAATTTTCCCAACCATGTCTATCCCTTGAACCTGTATTATCAATTATTAAGTTTATTAATCTATTTTATATTATTATTTAATTATATATTATATATATCATATATAATATTATATATTATTAAGTGTACATATGTTTATTGGTAAAATTATTATAGCCATTAGGAGATTGTAGGGTGTTTTTTTTTTTTTTATCTTGGAAATGGTATAATGACTACTGGAAGAAGAATTACATGAAATAATCTGCTTGGATCTTTCATATTAAATCTTTGGGTTTTCTTCTGTAGGTTTCGGCATGGAGATTATTGGAGGGCGAGAAGTGTCGCCACATTCCCGGCCATTCATGGCCTCCATCCAGTACCGCGGCCACCACCTCTGTGGAGGCGTGCTGATCCACCCACAGTGGGTGCTGTCCGCGGCCCACTGCCGCTTCTGGTGAGTACCTGCTCTGACCTTGTGCATTCTACCTCCACCGGCTAGAAGAGAAGTTTGCCTCTCCCAGGAGAGAAGTTTGTTTTTTCACATTCTAAGTTTAATGAGCACTGTAATGTTTGAAGAATACAGATGTAATATCAAGGGGTATGAATAACCGTTCAATCATATATATGTATATTCTTTTAATTGAAATAGAGTTGACATATAGTAAATATTAGTTTCAGGGGTACGACAGTGATTCAACAATTATGTACATTACGATAGGCTCACCACGATTAAAGTACTATATTATTGACTATATTCCCTGTGCTGTAGTTTCATCCCTGTGACTTATTTATTTTAAAACTGGGAGGTTTGTACCTCTTACTTGTTCATCCATTTTGCCCATCCCCCCACCCTTCCCCTCTGGCAACTACCAGTTTGTTCTCTGGATTTGTGAGTCTGTTTCTCTCTTTTTTGTTGTTACTGTTTGTTTGTTTGTTTGTTATTTTTTGGATTTCACATGTAAGTGAAATCATATGGTATTTGTCTTTCTCTGGCTTATTTCTCCCAGCATACTATCCTCTAAGTCCATCCATGCTGTAGTAAATGGCAAGACTTTCATCTACCCTTAGCTTCTGTGATCACTGACCAACTGGTGGAGTTGACTTACCCTCTTGCCCATCCAAGTTTTCCACCCTGAGTTTTCCTTTTCAGGGAGAACTGGGCCACCTTTCCCAGGCAGGCCATGGGACAGATCCAAGTCCTCCGTGGAAGGCAGGGAAGGCAACAACTTGTAGTAACTGGGGCAGCGGCCTTCCTGACCTTGTTAGACAGCCTGTGTTTGTATCTCCGCTTTCCCATTTTACAAAAGGGGAATAATAATAGTAGTACCTGTTTCATGGGGTTTGGAGGATTAAATAGTACCTATTTAAATATTTTAGTATGCTTAGCACATATAGTAAGCACAAATAAGTTGCAGCCACTATTGTTAACTCAGGTAATTCCAGGTATCCTGTGGGCAGAAAAAATGACCTTTCAGATTCCAGCTGGAGTGTATCCGGAAACAGAAAGTCAGAAAGCATGCAGAGTCTGCTTGCGTTGTATTGGGTATTAACATGTCCCAGTGGAGACAAAAATAACCAAAATATTTCAAAGGTGAGGTGTAAATGAGGGACAATATATAAAATGCTTAGCACAAAACCTGGCACAGCACAATAACATAATAACTGTTATATTTCAGTCTGTGATTGTCTTACTTCAGCTAAAAAGGTCCCAAGCTCTTCTTGGGTTGCTGCAACCTTTGCAAAAGGAAAAGCCATAGAAAGCCAATTTGGTGTTTGTTGTTGCTTTGTTTACTTGTTGGTTTGGGGGGATTTGGTTTTTGTTTGGTTTTTGTTGTTTTTGTCTCTATGTTTCTTTCTTCTCTCTCTTGCCTGAATAAGCCAAGGAGAGATGGGGCTTTCTTTCCTTACAAACATTATAGCACTTCACTTAAGAATCTCTTGGCTATAATGGTTTGCTAGCCAGGCTATGGAACAACTGAAATGACTTACTTCTCCATTTCAATTGCCCACATTTTAATAAGACTAGACACACATTTAGAAATTTTGAAGCCTGCAGAAAGTGAGAACTTCTGTTTTATTTCTAAATAGCAAGCTATTAATCTCCAGTTTACTATGACTACTTCATTCATATGGGGTTTCTGCTGTCATAGAAACCACCCTTGCCTCCCTATCACTTCTCTCCTGTTCAGAACACTTGTCTCCTGAGGACCAGCGAGGCAGAGGGTGACTATCAAGAAATGTTCATTCAATTCAGGATATGCACATCTTCAAATACCCTTATGGCACACATTCAAGTGGATTCTAACCTCCCCAGACACAGGTCTTGACTTATAAATGCTCAAGAAAGTCTGGAGAGAAAGAAGGAAATAAATTGGAAGACTTTCTTTCTTTTTTTTTTTTCCAAGCCAAAAACACAGTGTGTGGAGTCCTTCACAAGCCATAAAGTGCTTTCCGAAAGTAAATAATACTATTAATTTGAATTTAAAATTTTGTCAAGTGAACTTAACTTGATAGGAGTGGGTCCTCAAACTGACAAATTGGGGAAAAGAGATCTTGGAATTAAAAAAAGAAAAAAGAAAAAAGGAAAAGAAAAAAACAACTCTTGCTAAATACCATTTTAAATGGCCAGAGTTTAAAGAACTCCAGAATATGTGGATCAAATTTCCTCTCCAGGACACTTGGGTGTAAAAATGTAGGCGGATTGGTGCTTAGAAAAATATTAAGCTTTATGAAATCCAAAATATTTATGAAATAGTTTAATGGTGGCTTCCCACAAATGTACTCTCAAGTACCCTGGGGGAATACTTACTAACTCGAGGCTCTGCTCTCAGCAAAATGGTGAAGGAGGCCAGATCTGGGGTGCCCCCTTCTCACTCCCCATCCACGCAGTTCCTTACTGCACCTCTTGGCCCCTCTATTAGTTGCCTTGCCAACTAGAAAAGGAAACCAGTAGAAAAGCTTCTTGTCTAATCTTATTTACAGCATTTCAATTTATCAGAAGCAAAACTCTCACCAACTCTTTTCTACTGTTTTTCTGAATCTACCCCCTCACTGAGCACCCCCTCCTCTCACCTGTTTGGGCTGTAATTAGATGAACCCCCCTCCCCCCGCAGCCCCTTCCACTTGGCCTCCCCCCCATCTCAGACCGTCCCAGAGCATCCAGAGTAGAATGGTGTAGATTCAGGCCCCGGGGGCTCAAACCAGTTGAGCTTCAGTCCCGCCTGCGTTTGCATCCTGGAGCCTCCCCTTAATATCTGCGGGACTTTCTCAAGTTTGTTCATTTACCTGAGCCTCAATCTTCTCATCTGCAAAGTGGGGATAATCCTAATAGCTCCCTCACAGGACTGTTGTGAGGTGTAAATGAGGGACAATATATAAAATGCTTAGCACAAAACCTGGCACAGCACAATAACATAATAACTGTTATATCATGTCATCAGGTTATTTTCTGTACCTTCCCTGGTAGTCGCTGAGGCACAAGTCTGATGATCCAGGAGTGCTGAGGATGGGACTGTAATATCCCCTCTCCAACAGCCAGCTAATTCCCTGGTGTCTTAGATTAAAGAGACCTCCAGGGAGTCAGGACCCAGTCTTTGTCAGCCCTGGAGGAGTGGATCTAAGTAGCAACAGGGCTCAGTGCCGAGGCAAACTGGCAGAGGAAATAAAGGGCTTGGAGGGGCTTGACATGGGGCTTCCAGAGTGTCATGGAAAGGAGCCCTGGACTTGGAATCACAAAAGCTGCGTTTGAGTCCCGATTTCCCTACTTATGTGTGTCACCTTTGGCCAAAGAACCCTTCCACCAATGAGGACTATACAGCACATCAGCTTGAACAACACTGAGAAAGGATTCTTTTTAAGCCCAATGGAAACGATGTTTCAGTAGACAGAAAAGGATTACTGTGAGCAACGCTCTGGTTCCTGCTCTGCATGTAATTCCGTTCCAGGTAGGTCCAGGGTGGGACTCAGAAAGCTGCATTTTAAACACACATCTCCAGAGGATTCTGAAGCAAAGACCACCTGCGGAGAAACCCTACAATAAACAAACGAAAAACACTGGTATTATTACATATCTGTGTGAATTCAGACCTGGGTTTAGCTAAGGAGGTGGCATCCTAGAACTCAGGTAATTCCAGGTATCCTGTGGGCAGAAAAAATGACCTTTCAGATTCCAGCTGGAGTGTATCCGGAAACAGAAAGTCAGAAAGCATGCACAGTCTGCTTGCGTTGTATTGGGTATTAACATGTCCCAGTGGAGACAAAAATAACCAAAATATTTCAAAGGCGTTAACTAATCAAGGACGTTGGTAAAAGATGAGGAAAACCAGAAATTTTCTCAGCAAACATCCCCTAATCAAAATTCATCTTCCACACCCGCATTTGTACCCCACAGCCTTCCTTGTGTTTTTTATGCATGTTTCCGTCTTTTCTGTTAAAGCAGCAGTCCTGGGGATTTGGTATCATTCTCCACCCTCCCCCCCCCTCCACAGTTTGGGTTTAATGAGTATGTTGAATTTGAGTTTGAATCAATCCTAGGAAATCTGATCCACATCCTTTGAGAAATTTCATCCCCATCCTGATTTTGCAATAGGCAAACTTTTCAACAAATAGAGCTGAAATTCCCAAAATAAACCAAAATAAACTCTTTTGGTAGAAACCAAAGAGTGGTCACTCCTGGCAGTCACAGACCTGCCATAGGCAAACCCACCCCACTGTAGTCCTGAGCTCCTTCTTCGAACCTGAAACAACACATTCTTCCTTTTTCTGTATGTTTCTGTGTCTTTTAATTCTTATTAATCTTTGTGAATCCATATGTGGGAGTATGTGTGTGTTTTTATTTTTAATTGAAGTATAGTTGACATACAATATCATATGAGTTTCAGACGTACAACATAGTGATTTGGCAATTATGCACATAATGGGATGCTCAGCGTGATAAGCGTAGTTACCATCTGTTACAAAAGTTATTGCAATATTATTGACTATATTCCCTGTGCTGTATTTTTCATCCCCCTGAGTTATTTTATGACTGAAAGTTTGTACCTCTTAATTCCCTTCACCTATTTTGCCCATCTGCCCACCACCCCCCTTTGGTAACAACCACTTTGTTCTATGTGTCTGTGAATCGTTTCTGTTTCTGTTTGTTTGTTCATTTGTTTTGTTTTTTAGATTCCACACATAAGCAAAATCTTACGGTATTTGTCTTTCCCCGTCTGACTTATGTGGGTGTGGATGTTTGTTTTTTTTTTTTTAAGATTTTATTTATTTATTTGACAGAGACAGAGAAAGAGAGCACAAGTAGGCAGAGAGGCAGGCAGAGGGAGAGGGAGAAGCAGGCTCTCCGCCGAGCAGGGAGCCTGATGTGGGACTCGATCCCAGGACCCTGGGATCACGACCTGAGTTGAAGGCAGCCGCTTAACCAACTGAGCCACCCAGGCGCCCTGGATGTTTTTATTATAATCTGTCTTAATCCTTCTTTCAAGTGACAATGAAATAGTTACATGTAAACAAGTATTAAGTCTTTCTAGAATCTTCCTTGTTCCCTAAAGGATTTGAAGCAGCTTCCTAAAGGCACACATTAAAATAGGATTTTTTTTTTTTGTAGAATGCTGAATGCCCCCAAGGTGTTGTCAAGGTCTCAAAAAAAAGAAAACATTTCTATTTCCATAACTAGATGTAAATGTAATTTGGTTGACATGCAGTAAATCAAATCAATTGTCGCACTATCAAAGCACTGGTACTGGAGCTGTATATGACCAGGGATAAGACAAAACAAAGCAAAACAACTGTTGTTTTTTATCTGACTCACCTGTTTCTATCCTCTAAATCTCCACAATGGAGTTATCAGTGGCTACTAACCCTACAGTGTTTTTATTTCAAATTAGCAGTGATTTTTCACATTGAGGCAAGTTTTCCTTTCTTGTCCAAATTATCTTTCTAATTGACAGGACAGAACATAGCTTATCTGACAGCCATGTAATGGATCTTATTCTCGATATTGCGTTGAGATGAGGTCTAGATATACCAGATTAGTAAATGCAGAGTTGAGTCTTTACTTTTAGTTATTAAAACACTTAATGTTGGGAAGATGTAAGAATTTTGGAGATTGATGGTAGTGATTAAAGAACAACAATGTAAATGTACTTAATGCCACAGAACTGTACATTTAAAAATGGTTTAAATTATAAATTTTATGTTATGTATATTGTACCTTAAATGGTGGGTATAAATCTCAACCCACAACTTGAGAAATATAATTTCTTTTTACATAAATTAACATAATTTTGTTGTAAACTCGATCTCAATTAGAATTTCATTCCTTTTCCCCACAGTAGGGTATAAGTTCTGATATTCTTTTGAAATACTAGGGAATTGAGGTGGGGTGGGTCTGAGAGCAGGTCTTTTGGCCCTTTATATCATCCTTTCATGCTTGGGTCCACTAAGACCTCTGTCACTCCACCTAATCCAAACAGGTTACTTTAGAGATGGCCTTTGTTCCTGTATGTTCTCCACCATTTCTGCTTCCCACTGGGGTATTTGGGACTCATTCTCTTCCTTCTATTCTCTTTGCTTTTTTTTAGGCATAAAAAAGTCCAGTTTTTCAAGGTGATTTTAGGAGCACACTCTCTCTCAAAGAAAGAGACCTCCAAACAAATGTTTGAGATTAAAAAATTCATACCATTCTCAAGACTTACATCATATCGTAAATCAAATGATATTATGCTGATTAAGGTATGTAGTGTTGCCTTCCTTCAATTTCTCCAGCATTCTTATACACCATAGTTCAGCTGTTATATCATCTACAGAAAAGGATTTTGTTAGCACTGTCCCCATGTTTGAGGTAAACGTGACATGTTCTATAAGGGCCCCTTTTACTTCATATACTGCCTTGAAAGAAACAAGAATTTATCACAAATGCATCAGGTCTGTGTTTAAACAAAGAAAAGCAACCCTGATGCTCACATATGTGGGAGGGGAACATCCCAACAAGCCCAAAGATCCCCACTGAAAGTTTTTTTCCCCAAATGCTTTTATCATTAGCAAATGAAAATTGCAAGTCCTTTATACAACTGAGCCAACCAAGTGAATTCAGGGACACATAAGTGAGTTATAACTTAGTCTAGACCATACTTAGTCTAGTCCAGACTTAGTCTAGACCATACTCAAGGGTCTTATCCAGCAGGAAACAGCCCAGCCCTCAAAGTCATGACCTATGGATGTTATTCCACAGAAAACCATCCAATGCAGAGCAAAGGCCAGTTTGCTTAAGACTGGGCAAAATTCCTGCTCTGTCTAAGCTCCCTCCCACAGCATCATTGAGCTCTACAGGGATTGGAGAGCATTTCAGAAAAGTAACAACCACAAATACAGCTGCAGGCTACCACCAAAGTAGATTCAAGAAGAGGGATGCCTTCCTAGACCAGAGGGACCACACATACATTGCTCAGACTAATAGCAGAATACTACTGGGGACAAATGATAATTTATGTTCTTTTTAATCTGTCAGCTTCACACGGCTGCAACACTTGACAAACATGTCCAGCTGCTCCACCCAAGCTCCAAAAATGATATCAGAGCTGGAACAAAATGCCAGGTTACTGGCTGGGGAGCCACCGACCCACAATTTTTAAGGATCTCTGATACCCTGCATGAAGTCACTGTTACGGTCATAAATCGAAAACTTTGCAACAGCCCAAGTTATTATAACCACAACCCTATTATAACTGAAGACATGATATGTGCAGGAGACACCAGGGGCCAGAAGGATTCCTGCCAGGTAAGAGCCCATCCATCAAACAGTCATCCCAGAACGCTGTGCATGCAGTCGAGCCTCCATGTAATCCTAGCACAGAGGAGAGGTATGGAGAACAGAAAATCACAACTCCAGAGAGTTCCTCTCCATTCCTGTACTGAGTTCTCTATTCTTTCTCATCTACCAATGTGAATGAGTCATAAGAACTTCCCCAACACATAAGCACTCCTTAAATGTCTGTGAATCAGGATGATAGACTGCATCTGATAACTTTTACAGGCTTTTTCAAAGGGATCTTACCATCCTTAGAAAGCCTACCAACTCTGAGTTCACTAGTGGTGTAAAATATAACTTCCTCTCCCCCCCACAAAACCCACCATTGTAGGCAATCAATAGAGAGGTGTTGGAAAGCCCAGATGCAAGAAGCTCAAATATATAGTATGTGTTTCTTAAATAATGTTGACAGATTGAATGAAAGGAAAGGAGTCATACTTTCCAGAATCTCTTTTTCCTGAGGCAGTAAAAAAAACATAGTTGTTCATGTTTGCAGGTGACACATAGCACAGATGGATTACTAATTTTTAAGAAATTAGAATGCACTATTGACACCGTACTGTATTAAGCCTTGTTGAGGGGAGGACATGATGCTTTCAAAGATCACCATGTATCTGCCGTGCCCCAAGATTGTCATCCCCCTCAGCCTCTCTTTCCATGGCAACCAGAGCACAAAGTGCTACAGTTCCCCATGGGAGTGGCAGCAGAGGCAAATCTTCAGATTTGAAAGCCCCCTCCTGTCACGCTGTCACTTTCCTTGACAGAATTGTAGTTACATGTTTAGGTCTGAGTCCTCAAGAATCCGTTCACGGAGCAAGTACTTACAAAGTGTTGTATTTGTGCTGAGCATTATATTCAATTACAGGAGAATGCAAAAACGGGAAGAAAAAAAAAAGACAGAGTCCCTGCCTGCCACCAATGTATGTAGTACGATACATTTCTCCTCTCTGCCCATCTCAGTAGCAACTTGATTTCAGATCCGTGGGCACCAAGGTGAAATCCATAATTTAAACATCTCTTTCATTTCAGTGGATTCCTTTAAACTTTACTCATTCCTTAATGAACAAAGTTCTATAGTCACTGATTATCAAAGGTTGTATATATTAGTAGTCCTAGACAGAGACAGGGATATGGACAGAGAGAGAGACAGACAGACAGACAGATGGACAGAAACATCGTCCCAGACAGAGATAGGGACACAGACAGAGACAGACAGATGGACAGAATCATTGCCCTGGGCAGAGAGAGAGACAACCCACACTGAGTAAGGGGCTATATCAGGAACCCTTCAGGACACAGAGGAACCAAGGACCCACATAATAATCCTTTGAGTAACAGGTAATTAATGGTAGAAAAAGTTCTATAGTTTCTCACCAAGTATCTGTCTATTTTCTTCTTTCTAGGGTGACTCAGGTGGCCCCTTGGTTTGCAAAGGTGCCTTCTATGCCTTAGTCTCTGCAGGTCAAGGATGTGGTGATGCCAAGAAGCCTGGAATCTACACCCTAATAACCCGGAAATACCAGGCTTGGATTAAAAGCAAGCTTGCTCCATCTCAGGCAAACTATGACCACAAATGATTTTCTTGGGTCTACCAGTTGCTTGTTTTATTTTCATAAGATGTCCTAGAGGCCACCTTTGTCTTTATATGTAGTTGGATGTAAAGTGGAGCACAGCTAGGGTCTACTCCTGTCCCCGTAGGACTGATTTTGTCAAGGAATCAAGTTCTCTTTCACATCTGTAACTGCTGTGTTTTTACTATGCTTATTTCATTCTGAATAAAACTGAGAAGACTATGTCCTTATCTTTTATGCAAATGAGAAAAAAGCAAATGATATACTCCCCACTCTATTCACACTCCCCCAAAGGGCAAAAAAAAAAAAAACAAGCCTTCAGCCAGGCACCACCTTCAACCAGGTTTATGCTGTGATTTCTGCTGTGTTTTTACCCTAAACTGCGCTTTTAAAATAAGAAACAGTAAATTCAAACACCCCAATTCAAGTGAAAAAAGAATCATCAAGGCTAATACAAATATTTAGGATAGTACTTATTATTGATTTCTGTCACACTTCGTTCCACACAGGATTTAAGGCAATGTACAAAAATATGTGCCATAAAACTAAATATGAAGTTAAAAATAATTTTTCCTCAAAAAATTAAAAATAGAAAATGTTATATGATCCAGAAATTCCACTGCCAGGTATTTATCTGAAGAAAACGAACGCACTAACTTGACAATTATCTGTACCCCCCCATGTTCACTACAGCATCCCTTACAATGGCCAAGATGTGGAAGCAAGTTAAGTGTTCATCAATGGAAGAATAAAGAAACTGTGATATAGATATATATATATATATACACACACACATGTATATATAATATTCAGTAATATATAATATATATTATACATATATATGTATGTTTATAATGTGTATGTATACAATATATAATTATATGTAATATATTATATGTATAATATTCAGCCATAAAAAAGGATGAAATCTTGCCATTTGTGACAACATGGATGGGCCTCAAGGGCATTATGCTGAGTGAAATAAGTCAGACAAAGACAAATATCCTATGGTCTCTCTTATATGTGGTATCATCTACAGAGAACGGATTGGTGACTGCCAGAGGTGGGCAGTTGGCAGATGGGAGAAATGGGTAAAGGGGGAAAAAGGTAAAAAAAAAAAAAAAAAAAAAAAAATTAAATCATAAATAAATAAATAAATAATTTGGTGAAGAAACTGAAGCAAGGGGGGAAATGAGACCTTTGAAGAAGAAGATGAAGACAGGAGTGTTACTACCCAAAGGGCCACCCTTTTCTTCCCATACTGTTGCTAGAAGGAGTCGTGTTTGCCTCGTATGCTCCACAGGAATCAATACAAAAAGAGCAACACAATCAGTTATATGAATTTCAGTATCCAGGAAATAAAAATCAACTTATCTGCCCAGACATAGGACCACTGGTGCTGACACAGGGCCTGAAGATGACTTTTTTGGGGGGATCTGTGTCAAAGGATGCTGTTCCAGGGCTCCCATATCCCTACCGACTGTATCAGATCACTTGAGAAGATCCTTCGGTAACACACGTTGCCCTGACTCCTTGCTCAGACATTCAGACTGAATGGGCTTGAGGTGGGCCTGGAAGTCTGCACGGTTTACAAACAATTCAACTGATTCCTATAAATGGGCAAATCTGAAAGCCGCTAATAGTGAACATCCTTAAAAACATCTTACAAGAAAGAACAATTGTTCTTTTATAAGCCCTTCAGTGTGAACTGAGGACTGCAGACCAGAGTGCAATTCAGTCCGTGTCCCAGAGGGTCTCACTGTCCTTGACTGTAGCCACCCTGTAATGAGAATCTGACAATTTCTAATCTGGTGGCAGAGGACAGGGGAGTCATTCAGGCTTCTCCTTCAACAGTTAGAAACCAAAAGGTTATTCTCAGTCTCTATATTACATTTGGGTTTCAGAGGATGCACAGTGCTCATTTCTAGGTGCCACCATCGGGTTTCTTACATTCATATAAAAATGGTTGCTTTTATTTGTTTGTTGTCATGGTTCTCAGGAACCACTCACCAGGACTACTCTACTAGAAATACTTCGACAAGTGGAAGCACTGGGTTTAAAAGGAACCTAATTAAAATTATAGAACTGCTTTGAAAGTAAGTAGTGAAAAAAAAAAGTAGTTAAAAAAAGGTTCTTTCAGTATTCCCTTTTGTATCATTTTGATTCATTAAAAATATACTGATTTTGACCGAGAAATCCCAGACTATATTTCCTAAGAAAAGAAAGGGGAAATTGCAGAGACTCTGAACTCACTGTTAAAAAAGTATTATATATTTCATCTAAATTCCAAATCCAATGGAATATGTAGTTGCAAGTCTCTTTAATCTAGCAAAAGGATGGCTGAGATTCCTTCTGATTGCAGTTGGGGAGTATCCTGAAAAGTTTCACTAAAACCTGAGACTTGTTTTGATTTTAGACTCCATGCTGTTCCCATCCAATGGTCAAACCAGATAAGATTGCCAGAGAGGAAGCTTCTGTCAACAGCTATGGCGGATCTGGTGACTCTTAAATTGGAAGATAAACAGTTTATTTTGACAAGTAGCTGATGATGGAGCCCACAACTGAAAAGTATCCCTCATCCTCCTAGGGAAGCAATATTTTATTAAACATATCAAAATCTTCCTAACATAACCTAAATGAATATGGTATCTTAGTTCGGGGAAGTCTGTCTTGGAGACAATATTTGATTCCATCTATGACCTCAAAGAAAAGCTGAGTGTAAAAATGAGGTATCTCGATTGTGAAAACTGCTCAAAAACTTTAGGGGAACATGATTGGCTGTTGTCATTCTAAATTATCCCACTTTTTCCTTTCTTTGTGATGTGGACAGAGACTATTTGCCTTCCCCCCAGACACTGAAAAAAGCTTCCTGCTTTATTTTATGTCCAATCAGCTTTAATAGAAAGTGACAGCCCTAGAAATAGGACCAATATCATGCATGAAATAAATCAATATAAATTCAGGTGGGTGACTAAACCAGTCTAGAACCAGGTAGCAGAATTAGTCCTACTGTCTGACCCTCATAGTTTTTGCACATAATAAATCTCCACTGATCCTGAGATGATAGGAAAAGCAGTGCTTCCCACTGGATTGCTTCAGAAAGGTATCTCAATAAAGGCGAGAACTGCTCTCAGTCTGTCAGAGACCCTCTTCCTTTTTGACTAAGCTCTTGGTTTATGACGGGGCACACATGTGATGGAGAAAGAGACTGCTCCATCTGTCTAAGGGCAATGCACCCAGATCTCTCCAAAGCTTACAATTTCACAAGATTACCGAGGCATCCCTGCACAGCTACTCATATACTGTCTTAAGAGATATTTGAGCATCAGGTGCATGCTGGCTGAACAGGTGATTTCCTTGTATCTGGAATGATTCAGCCTGGCTTTTAAGGTTTCACACATTGACTTCCTGTTTACTAATGTTAACTTGTTCAGCCCTTTTGCTGAGTCACATCAGTCAACTCCAGAATAGCATGAAGAGATTGTGTTCATTTTCTCGTTTTGACCGTAAATGTCGATGTAACAGCCTGTCAGAAGCCGCCGATGGGGTCTACACTGAGGTTTCTCTTGAGAACTTAGGAGTAAGTAGAATGAAATTGTCCTCTGAAAGTTAAAATTTAAACTCCATAGATACTGGCTCAGAGCAGAGATCCACAAGAGTACTCTGAAGAGATGCTGAAGTTCACAAGCTTACAAGACAGCCTGCAATCTGCTTGAAAGTTAGCGACTCACAGGATGAGTGACCCAGTCTAAAGGGGAAGAGGACAGCCATGGGTACAGGGAAAAGCAGGCAACGCAGGTAGTGGACCAACCAGAACTGATGAGGAAGGGAGGGAGGTGGGCCCTTAGTAAGCCTGACTTCACTAAGCATTCAGCTGCCTTCCTTGGTCTGTTTCTAATCCCATGCTCACCAAGCAAACTTCTGTGAGCATTTTGCTCCCTGTGACAGTTATTTCTTATTGCAAATTAATAAACATTTTGCTTTTCCATATCTATGATAATTTTTTTAACCTCTAAACTAGGGTTATTTGAATTTCTCTTTAAGAGTCAAATCACTCTGCGTGCTGATAAAAATCAAGTTTCAATCCCCGCAGTAATGAAGGTCAAACCTGAACTTTGGTAAATTCACCAACGTGAATATTAACTACCCCATGAGAATTTCCAACCCATCAACAGCCTGCCTTTCCTCTGGAGAGTACTCTTGGCATCCCTGCTCTGGCCACAGGCATGAAATGTGCTCACACTTGGAGCATCTATACATACATTATCCCATTAGTCCCCTGATTAGCCAATAACTCCAAGAAAAATGATGGTTTTTCAGCTGTGTTCTGTCTGGTTCACCTAGTAGCAGAGACTGCTGGTTTGCTACTCATCAGCCATCTCCTCTCTTCTCTGGTAACAAAACTCAAATTTTACTTGGAGCCACAAATCTATACAGCTTAAAAATGGTGTTTTCCAGCCTCTCTCGCTGCTAGAAGTGGTAAAGGAGATGTAAGTGAAAAATCATTGGCTGGGAGCTTCCAGGAAGTTCCTTTAAAGAGAGTTGTTTCAGTAGGAAAGAGTGCCCTTTCCCCCTTCCTTCTTCCTACTCCTTGGATGATAAATGGGGTGGCTAGATCACCAGCAACAATGCTGGAACCATGAGGCAAGTTTGAATAGAAGCTAAGTGTTTATGGCAGTGAAGCAAAAAGAAGGAGTCTTGATGTCAATCCTGTACTATTTACCTGAGGACTTCTTTTACATGAAAGAAAAGAAACACTTGTGTTTAATCCACTATTATGTGGAGCTTTCTGTCAAATACATCCCCACTCAATCCTACTAGATGAAATCAGAAACCTAAAATTTCTGTCCCTGATGTATGCTCCAAACAATGACTAGCATATGTCTTTATGCCCTTATGTCCCTTCCTCCAAAATCCCAAACTCCCAAATGGCTCTAGCTTTCCACCTTGTCTTATTTAAACAAGAATTGATTCAGAAAAGTCACTTTTAAATGCTATAATCAATA